AGAGCTCGTGACACAAACCCCTCCACGCCTGATTGCAGGGCTTACAGTTCGCCATAAGTAAATAAATTAGGCATAATTTAATATTTGACTGTAAGATTTACTGTTCCACTCTTTACAGCTTCTCAGGTGGGTGCCCAGTAATTGAGGGAAATGAAGAGCCCCATTAACTCCCGGCAGCGCGGAGGGGAAACCTCCCTCCACCTCCCTCCACCTCCCTCCACCTCCCTCCACCTCCATCGACCTTCCTCCACCTTCCTCCACCTCCAGCCTGAGCCAGTCCCTGGTGGTGGGGGATGAGGAGGATCCTCCTGGCTTTAGGGGGGCAGTTCTTGCTCTTTGCCTGTAGCTGATGCCCAGAGCCACACACGCCTGCCCCATCACAGGGCAGAGCAGAGTTCAGTCTCCTCACAGAACCCGGGTGAGTTTGGCACCAAACCCAGCAACGACCTGAGATCGCTGTTACAGAGTGAAATTCAGCTTTGCTGTGACTTTGAGACCCTTTAATTTTGAATAATGTATCCTGTTTTTTGTAGGATATTAAAATTCAATCTGTACTGGCACTTGAAGCAGCGTCCCAATATATTTTAGCAGCTGGATTGCATCACAGACCTGCCAAGGACAGAGCCCGGGGCTCACCTCCCTAATTTTAGATCAAATGCTGCTCCAAGTTCTCTAATTATGTTAACCTCTGTTGCAACACTATTCTCTGCAATCTGTAGCATAGTCAGCATGTTTGGGTCCTTCTCCAGGGTGGGTTCAAACACAATCTGATTCCCCAAAGTCCCACCCTATTGGAATTACATTTGCAGTGTGATCTCTTCCCCCACAGTCTGCAGGTGTCAGTGCCAGGGGAAAGCTAATAAAAGAATTCCATTTTGTACTTATTTCTTCAGGGTTTGGCTAGTTCAGGTATTGAGTCCTAAATGCTGCCCCTTGTCCCTTTATGCCAATTCTTAGTTTAACCTCGAGTGGTTGCAGACACTTCTCAGAAACACCTTACTTCCACCGACCAAACAAGCCTTCTTGGAAGGTAATGCCCTTACTCTGCTGCTGACTGAGCTTTGACCAAGCAACCCCAAATTATCTTCAACTGAGGAAAACACCACCGAGTCTGGCCTGGCCTGGCTTTACCCTCACACACCCCTCAGACAGCAAATCCCATTCTCCTGAGCAGGATTTCAGGTTAAACATCAGCCAAGTGCTGAGACCTGCAGACCATGGCAGCATCTAGCCAGCAATTCCACATTTCAACATCATTTATATAATGTTTCCTTTATTTAGTAAAGCAGGAGGATTGGGCAGGAGCTTTAAACCCACCCCTGGTGGCTCCTCTGTGACTCGAGCCCTGTGGGACCTCCACGCTCACACTGCACTCATTTTCTCTTTCAATTATTTCCCAAGCTGCTGCAAACACAACCAAACCAGCCAGCAAATTCAATCTTTCCCCCTTTATGAGAGGTTTTTAAAACAGGAAATGATTTGCAGGTGAATAGTGTGTTATGTTGGTGTCCAAGTCCCTGCAGCAAACTTGGATCATGGAAAGGTCCCACAACCAGCCCCCAGAGGGAACAGCTTCTGCTAGATCACTTCATGGGGATCTGGCCTTCCCTTGAGACTTAAACATGGATTTAGGGACAAATCTTGCTTTGAAAAGTAATTACCATTTCCCCCTGGATTTGCACAAGTGCTCAGCGGGGCCGGGTGAACAGTTGTGCACCACAGCTGCACATCTGTCCCCAGGACTGGGGTGGGTGTCTGAGCACAGTGAGGTGGGTGTGACCAGCCTGGACAGACACTCCCTGACTGGTCCCAGTAACTCCCACCACGACCTATCGGGTCTGTAAAGTCCATCCCTGCCAAAAGGTTTCCAGGACAGGGGGTTTGGGATAAATGCTTCACCCCAGTGACTCACCCCGTGTTCCGGGTTTCCTCCGTGTGCTGTGGCAACAGCAAATGCAACACATTTTTGTGGGGTGTTTCACGCCAGAATCCCCCTTTGCTGAAGCAGCTCCAGTGGCTGAGGACAGAGCAAAAACTGTGTGTCACAGAACCCATGTCACAGAACCTATGTCACAGAACTCGTGTGTCACAGAACCCCTGTCACAGAACCCATGTCACAGAACTTGTGTGACACAGAACCCTGTCACAGAACCCCTGTCACAGAACCCCTGTCACAGAACCCC